TCAAATTTCAATTTTCTTTTTGCACCTGTCCAACTCACAGTTTTGGACCGATTTCCTTCAAACTTTCAGGATGTGCTAAGTTCACCGAGTTGTATAACATATAGTTCGGGTTTTTTGAGGTCACTGACCTGAGGTCAGTTAGAGGTCATTACGTCGTAATGTTAAGCCTATGGGAAAATACTAAATTCGGAAAATAATGGAGATATCCGCTTCTTTCTATCATTTTTGTGCTTTGAAACCACAGTACTTAGCAGCAGGTCACTTGGTACTTCCTTGTTTGGTGTACTTATCCATGGGTCAGGTGGTCAAATAACGTCAACTGAGGTCAAATGACGTTTTTGCCAATAACTTGGCACATAATGACGCTAGAGCTTAAAAAATGGAATCATTGTGTTCCTGGTGATCAGTCGAATCGAATGATATGCAATATGATGCAATTTAGATAACTTGAACTTAATTTATTAAGTCAAGTTTACTTAAAATTTAAGAAAAACTTTAAGTACACTGAAGCAAGCTAATAAGTATATCATTCGACGCGCCTTGACGTGCTGAGTTCACTGGTGCTTTTCTTTTTTGCTCTATCTTAAAGGGACCCTCCCACCTTCAAAAAAGTTAATGAATTGGCATGAAAGTGATGTCGCTCGGTTCAGAAAGAGCAAAAACGAATATCTACCAAATTTCATCGAAAAATATTCACTGGTTTTCAAGATATCAGACTTTTACTTTTGTTTACTTTTTGGGATCTCCGCTGTTCCTAGCGATTTTATTTGAAAAGGCGGCATTTGTTGCGCGCAAAGCAGCATATACCACCGCGTGCTACAAAACGTTTTAGTCAAACATTTAACGGACGTTCGAAAGCCTGATGACGTCATCAGATTCCCGTAATGGTTAAGAGATAGGGACCACGCTGGTCCCACCGTGCAAGTAAAGGGAAGAAATTTCTTGAACACCATAAAGCTGCGGGGGTTGCGACCAGGATAAATGGTGGTTTCTGAGCCTGGCCGCAAACTTGGCTATCTCAACTCAAAACTAATGTTAAGGTGGGAGGGTCCCTTTAATTAGATCAAAAGTTATAAGCGAAAAACCTTTGACCTGTTTTTAGCGAATTTTTTTACATTTATACCCCCAAAACCCCCCTAAATATTGACCTAGAGCAACCAAATTTGCACAGGGGCGAGAACTCCATGGGGCCCACCTACCTACCAAATTTGGTGTTTCTAGGTGCCATAGGAGCCAATCGCGAGGGGGGGTCGCATCGACCCCCCCCCCCCCCTGCCAGGCCGTGTTATGAAAAATGCCCTGCCAGGGCGAGGGTTAACCCTCGCTGGCACAGGGGGGGGGGGTTGATGCAACCCCCGTAAGTTTTTTCGCGAATAACTCGCGTAAAAAGCGGCCTATCGCGACGAAACTTTCAGTACCCTCACATTGATCAATTTTACACCTACCCTGAAAATTTCATGATCTGACCCAAATGACCTTTGACCTGTGACCTCTTTTCCGAGACCATGTTTGGTCGGAATCGCGATTCGGCGTATGTCGGCTAGCATTAGCCGCGCGTTTGCAAGCTTTCCGTGGTTTCAAACGTTCAAACATGTGATTTGATGTTGCTCCCATACATTAGGGTGGGTGTTAAGGTCACCTGAAGGTCAGGTCAGGTCATTGACCTTTGGTGACCTCGGGTGACCTCGGCTCACTTTTTCGAGTTTTACATATTTCTGGGCTAGTTTTTGGAGCTGAATTCGAATTTAGCAACCATTTCAACATTTACGAAGTAGTTTTGGTGCTATCGCAACATGTTACGAAGCTGTCAGAGGCGGTTGACACGTATTACGAATACCCGTCACAACCCCTACCGGTTGACCTGACCTGACCTGACCCGACCTGGTCTAAATGCTTCAAGACATCATCTCTGATCAAAACTAACACGATATTCGTGATCAGCACCCCGGAAAACCACATAGCAGCCACACTTTACGACTTTCTAACAGGTCCCGATTTCCCCGGTTTTCGGGTCATTGACCTGACCTGGAAGGTCACCCGATGACCTAGGATCTTAAAATTGGGTATCATCGGCTTCCTCTCGTGACGGGCAACACGCTCGTTTTTTTCCGCGAAGCTCTAGCTCGATCAGGGGCCAAACGCGAGGGGGGGGGGGTTGGTAAGGAAGGACGCAAAATGGCCTGTGCCGGCGAGGGTTAAAGTAAAATCAGTCTAACTGCCAGAGTTGAAAAGCAAACAATGTTTTAGATGATCTGAATGACCATGTCCTTGCCGTTAACCCGCGCCCTGCTGGGGGGGGGGGGTGTTTGAACACCCCCCCCCCCTTGTGGTTTTTCGCGAATATCTCAAAAACGGCGGCGCGGAGCGCCGCCGTTTTTGGTACACCTTATCATACATCAATTCTACACTTGTTGTGAAAATGTCAGACGAAGGTCATTCAAGGTCAGGTCACCAGGTCACTTGAAGTGACCTCACCTCATAAAAAGTTTCAATGTCTGTCATAGCTACACCGAGTGACTGATCGCTTTGAAACTTTCAGCGATTGCTGAGAGCAATAGCATGTACAAAATGTATATCTCAGAATTTTTATATCGATGACCTAAGGTCAGGTCAATTTTGCGACCTCCCCATTATAAGTCTATGGGAGAAAATTGAACTGCGCCTCTTTTGGACGAAAGACATTATAAACACTCCCAAACACCGAATTACAAGTGGTTTAGACACACTGAACATGAAAATGGTGTCCGTGACCCTTGTTTATGCCCTGAGGTCATCTTAGGTCACGAATGGTATCTAACAGTTTTTCGCAAATAACTTTTGATAGAGGCATGCTAGAGCGATGAAAACGCCTTAGATGTGTTCAGCTCGACGATACGGATCGACTGATATGCAACATGACCCTTTCCGGTCAGGTCATGACCTTGACCTGAGGTCAAATTTTCAAGTTGGCCTTTCAAGGTCAAGTTATAGTTCATTCGATGCGTCTTGACGAGAGGAACACGATGCCGGTAAAAGTAAGCTCGTACAAGGCTTGGGTCAAAAGTTATTGCAGAAAAACTGTTTCCGAAAAAATCGGCTATTTTTGCAGTTTTTGCCCCCTGCAGGCAAAACCGTTGACGTTAGGTCAAATCTGAGAGAATTACTCAGAAAGGGCGTTAATAGGGCTATCGAATGCGCTTTTCCGCGGCGTTGTAGCTCTATTGGTTCCCGAGTTATGCGTTGGCTTCTTGGAAATTTTCGACATTCGACCTGGAAATCGGCGAAATTTTGCCTTCAATGACCTCTGGTGACCTGACCTTTGACCTGACCAAAAAATTGACCGAAGTGATTTCGTCATTATTTTTGACGCTCTTTCGAACGCCGCCTTCCGCGTATCGCTACGTGGCCCAGGAGCCGAGTTACAAGGGGGGGGGGTGTTCAAACACCCCCCCCCCCAGCAGGGCGTGGAAATCCAGGACCCCCAGCCGGGCGCGGGTTAACTCTTCTATCGTGGGCAGTGTGTTGCCGACGGTACCTAGGGATACGGGGATATGCAAGGGAGGGAGAGGAGGGGGCGCACATCAGGGGAAGGTGCCAGAAGAGTGTCTGTTATTTGGACGCACAGCGAACAGTGGGCTGCGGTCCCGACATTGTTTGCAGCTGGCTGCTGTTCGGTGCTCGATGTATGGAGACTCCCGGCGGCCGGAGTCTCCATGGTCTGCCACTGGTCAGAGGAGCCGCAGGCCCGCAGTTAGTTAAGCTCAGCTTGTGGGACGTACCGTATCCTGTTATATTGGGACTTTGGGTCCCGACAACGCGGGATTTCGGAACGGTTGGTCAAAACCAGCGCAGCAAGCGTTCGTTTTGCCATTCCGTTAATTCAAAACATTAACAATATTTTGTGTTTATTATCCGCTTTAAGAACGTTAACTTAGTACCTACTGCTTTGAACGTTGGCCCGACATTTCCCCCAGGAGGTGCAGGCTGGAGGTCGCAAAACATATTGCCTCTTTCAGTCACCTCATCCCTCGTGTAGGCGGGAGACCCGGAGACCCCTACAACAAGTAGGGGTCTCCGGACCTTGTTATACTGGTGACCATCGTTATACTTTGAGTCAACGCCCAGGTGACTTACCAGGTACAAATTTTTCTGCCATCATTCCATCGTGTTGGATTTACCAGACTCGTACCCAGAACAAACACGATGAGTGAACGGTAGCGTGAGTCAGCTGTGTCTGTGACGATGCAGTGGCGCCGCCTGCACCGATGCTGGCCTATCGTATGGGAGTTTTGGCGGCGCCCAGTCAGGTGGGGCTAGTGCGGCCGCCGGCCGGTCCGTGCGCATTGGCGTTGGACTCCCGTCACCTTGGACAAGGTTTTATAAATGGTTTTGTCTTATAGTTTATTACGCTACTACCGTGTCCAACCCGCAATGAGCATTCACTTTGCTTTCAGTTAACGTGTGGAATGGAAGACCCGATGCTTCATACTGGTGGGCTCACTTTTTACCCTGGGAAAGGGGATAGTGGGGGTGTTTTTGTTCTCCTACGACGTCTGAATTATTGATATTGTTCGCCCCTTAGAAAAACTTCCGATGGAAAATTGAGAATAGTTTCAATACTTGACCTTATCTTCAAAGTAAGTAGGTATGCAAAGTTTTTTATCGAAAGTTCTTAAAGCTATCAAGAATAACTCTTACTTACTTTGAGGATAAGGTCAAGTAATGAAACTACATATCATGATATTCCTCATAACGCTTAGTATAATTTAGGAAAATGGAGAAGTTAATTTACATCATACAAACACTTAAACAGAGCAAAATTCGATGAGTTGTGTTGGAAGGTAGAGGTTTTGGAGAATGCCCCACAATGTTCATTACTCCCTTGCCACTCCCACAAGCCACTCCCACATCATCCCTCAATCACAATCACTTAGTGCCAGCAGTGAAGTGTCTAATCTGTAGTCCATACAGCCAGAGGTGTCTATTTATCTGTTACAACTAAACCGCCATTTCTCCTGCAGATTTCTGACACTGAAGTAGAAGGGACGATCTCAGTAAGCTAGATCGCTTCACTCGTTCGTAAAGGATGGCAGAGAAGAAAACAAAGAAACGTAAGAAGCTGGCACCAAGCGAAGATGTCGGCGATGATCCTCCGGTAAAGGCGGGTAAGACGTCGGACACAGGTGACGCCCAGACGCTGGCCGGCGCTGTGCCGATCCCGGACAATATGCTCAAAAAGCAGAGCGACGCCCAGAAGGAAAAACAGAAAAAGATCGCTGAAGCAAACAAGGCTCTGAAACGGGAAAAGCGCAAGAACAGGGTAAAAAAGAACAAGCCGCAAAAGACGCCCGATCAGTCACCTGCTGCGGTTAAGAAGACCACGCCCGAGTATGCGATCAGCTACGTGACTCAGTGGAAGGAAGATAAGTCCAACTGGAAGTTCCAAACGTTGGTGCAATCATGGATCCTACAGAATCTATTGGACGACACCAAAGTGAGTACTCAGAGTAGTAATGTCTTTATTTTGCATCATCAGGTGACCTCCAGATGCCAGAAATAATATGTTTGTACTGATTCTGCTGCATAGCATGCCGCAGCATTACTGCTCGACATGCCAGTATCATACAGCTTTTCATATTGGTTTTGCAACTTATCGTTTCCACAGATATAGAAATTAATTTGACGTGTTCTGTGATAGTTTTGACTTTTTGGCTATTTATGATTTATAAAAAAACTTGTCTCAAGCCTGAAGGTATTGATATTGATAAATGTCGTTATTCGCACACACGCACAAAAAAAGACATTGACGAGCCATAAGTCTATTCAGGCTGTACCGATAAAAATGTCGTAATCTGGAGCCGACATCATCTGCCAATGCTGTTCGTTTTTCCAGTGGTGGGCACTTCGAAATCGAACCCCCTATCGATAGCGATTATCGAAGTCGTTATCGACGATAACGTTTTTCAAGTTTATCGTCATTGATTATCGTCATCGATGTAGCGTTATCGAAGTCCCCGTTTTGGTCAATCGATAACGATAACTTTATCAAATGCGACGCAAGCGTATTAAAGGGAATAAGTTCACCCTTGTTTGTTTTGTTGGGTTAGGCCCTTCCGGTCCAATGGGACCATTTCAGAGCCGGGAGATTGATAGGATATAGGGGGAGACATTGGTCTTGGCAGGCACCCTAGTGAGTCACCGGGGCTGAGTCCGTCCAGAGGACAGGCCACCCAGCCCCAAGGTACTCACTGCACCCGGCTACGGGTTGCGCTCCCTCGGGAGCAGCAGTGCCGCTCCAAGGGAGCAGCCCGCATGAGATAAAGTTGCCTGTCCAGCCCGGAGGGGGTTGCGGCGTGGAGGAGAAGGATTTCAGCATCCTGAGGATAGAAGCACGGAACGGTGAATTCACTCTCAACATCATGGGGTTTTGAACTGAGATAGCAGCTTTGTAGATTTAGCGCTGAAAAAAAGCTATTTGGAACGTCTTTCGGCACAACAGGCTCTGTCGCCAAAGATATTTAAGTTTTTCGACGAATGCTTTACTTATTTAAGGAATATTTAAGGAGCTAGATATTATTTAGAAGCTTATTACTTTCAAATATTTTAACCTTTCGATTTCTGTCTTTTTGAAGTTATCGTTATCGTTATCGCGTTATCGAAGTGACCGATTTGGTTATCGAGTTATCTTTATCGAAGTCACCGACCTCGAAAAAGGTTTTCGGATTATCGTTATTGAAGTCGCGGTCAAGTTACGAGTGCCCACCACTGGACTTGTTACTACCCAATTTCTGACCATTATTGTCTTACCCCCGCCGTCTCCGCTGTGCACCCCATCTGACCTTCCCGCGGCGGCCCGGCAGATCAGCAAGGCCGACTTCCCGCTGGTGCTCGAGTACGCGGTGTCGGTGCGCGGGGCCGCCCGCGGCCGGCTGGCCGACGAGATGCGAGCTGTGGTAGAGGCGCGCGACCGGTGGCCGTCGCTGCGCGCAGAGGGACAGACGCGCGAACAGGCGCGCGAGGCCATCGGCAGGGACAAGCCCACCAAACGGGCGTACCGGCGCGCGCGCAGTGTGCTCCAGAGCCTGGACGATGACGAGTGAGGTGCCGGTGTGTGTTGGGGAGGGGGAGGGGGGATGATCGGCGAGTCTGGTCGGCGAGCAGTTGGAGAGTGATTTGGGGTTTGAGCACGGGGAGAATTGTGAGAAAGGGTTGCGGGTATGAGAGTGGAGCTCCTTTTGATGTTGGTTTTGATGTGGGGGCTTCAGCGTCAAGACAAGGGGTCCGATGCTGTCGTGACTTTATTTGAAGTGCTGCCATTGCTTGTCGCGCTTACTGTTATTTGACATGTGTTGTTGACGACTGTGTCTCGCTGGTCACCCATTTCATCTGAGCAGAGACGGAAGACCATCAATACGATGATTTCGGATGATTTTGTCATATCTTCGATAGTTGTTGGCCTCGTGGCGGGCTGCCGCCGTGCGGGATGAAAGGACTCCGTATTTGGAGCGCGGCTCGCCAGTAAGTCAGCAGCGACTGCCGGCGCAGTCACATTCTTACAATGAGCGTTTCGTCATCGGTGATGTGGTCACAGCTTTGTTGCGCACAATCTGCTGATAGCCCAGCTCGATACGGTGATCCCTCGTCGACTGTCTTCCGGACAGTTAGGACGGCGGCCGACTGACGAGCTTTATCGACTGTCGCGGCGACAATAAACGACGGATGTCTCCAGGAATGTGCGACTGTTTCCCGGCGATTAGGTCAGATGGATGGACGTCTCGGAACTATGAACCACTGGACGGACGCTGCACTAGTCTTTTGGTCACGGAAACAGCCATTTCTAGTACCTACTTCAGTGTTTCCTTTAGTTTTCTCTTGGACTTGGCAGCTCCCTCGGCTGTCATATAATAGTAGTTTTCGTCTATCGGTGCACGTCGCACTACTGGGTGTGATCCAAGCATCGATAGAACATTGGAATGTTCTATTACAACGCGGCTCTTGTTTACGAAAAAGCGCATGCTCACTGGGCTGGAGCTGGAGAGGTCTATTTAGTCTCATTCCAATCTGTACATACCGACATCTCCAATCAATCTGAAGATGCTACGAATGATAATTGAAATATAACTGTATTGAAATATTTAATGGGTTCAAAGCAATTATATACCATGGCTGAGCAGATGACCCAGGGACGTTGGTTCGCGTTGGTTTCCTTCCTAAAACATACGAGGGGGTATCGAAAAGTTCTGATCATCACATAGAAGATATAGACCGATTTTGATGATTTTTGGTAGGCATTATATTTGGTTCTCAAGAACAATGTTCCCGCAAAGAAAATCATGAGAAGTGGTTTTATCTTATGTAGGAGAGACTTAGAAGTAAAAAAGATGAGCATTGGGCCCATTAACCCGCGCGGGGCTGGGGTCTCCAGCCGAACGCGCGGGGCTGGGGGGGGGGTAAATTTTACCCCCCCCTGTTATCTCCCGAAATAATGGTCCGATTTGGAAAATTCAAACGCCAATCGAAAGCTCTCATCACGAACTACTAAAAACATGTACTTAATTTAAAGTTTGAGGTCAAGGTCAAGGTCAGGTCAAGGGTACAAATTGCAAGTTTCTACAGTATCGGCCTTGCACCGTAGTTGCCGAAGAATGGAGTCATGGACTGAGACTGATCGCCCAAAACGTGTTCTTAGGCTACCAAGACAATATTCGTTGCATACAATATCATTCAGAGGTCAAGGTCAAGGTCAGGTCAGGTCAGGTCAGGTCACCCAAAAACAAAATATAGAAAAGGGCATGTGCGACACATGTTTTATGGGTCATTTTACTCATAGAATTCAATAGGCACACTCAATAAGTGATATGGACCACCTCTGGATGAATTTCAGGTCGAGGTCAGGTCAAGGTCAGGTCAAGTGAGGTCAAATTTTGAAGTTGGTTGTTAAGGCCTAAAAAGGTGTCTATCTGATGCAGTTTTTCACGGCGAATCGAATGGTGCTATTTTTGTTTCCATACGAGGTCTAGAACTTCCAAAAAAGTCATTTTTCAAAAATTTTGTGTGTCGTGACGTCATAAAATTTTGAATAACTCCCACATTTTTGAACCGATGCTTCTAAAATTTGGTATGTAGGTGCACATAGACCACTTCTCTGACATATATTCCGGTTTTTTCGATAGACTCAAAATTTTGGATTTTATAATGATTTTCCCAAAAAAGTCAGTTTTTTGAAAGAAAAAAATTAGGCCAAAATCCAAAATTTTCAAAAAACCGAGATAGCCATTTGATAGACAAAGTAACATTACGTATAACCTTTTTTGTTACGTCTTGATTCCTTTAAAAATGAAGATGTTAGCGGCGTTTGAACTTTTGCCGTTTTTGAGGCGAAAATGGCGAATATGACGTCACTAAAACGTCAATTTCTCAAAAATTTTCCGACGGATTTCGCTCAAATTTTCAGGGAACGTGTCAAATTGATGTAAGAAAAGGTACTAAAAGTTTGGCGGCACTGCGCGCGGCCGTTTTTGAGATATCGCAAAAATTCGCGAGGGGGGGTAAAATTTACCCCCCCCAGCCCCGCGCGGGTTAAAGACCGAACCGTCATCCAACAAATGCATTTGAAACGGTATCACACTGAGAAAATACATCAAGAACGTGAAACTTAGTTTATGGCGAGGAAAGCCCATCTCATGCACTTACCGAAAATGAAGAAATAATTTTCAACTTGGTTGCATGGCCTTTGCAAGGGAGTCAAGAAGTGAGTGACTACCAGTGACTGACAAGGTGATGACTGTGAAGGAAGTGGAGGACCTCATCCTTGCAGATCGTCGTGTGACCTTTCAGATGATTGTGCAACAGAAAGGTCTCAATGCTGGCAGTGTCTGAAAATATTATCAGCCAGTGGCGGCGGAAGCGGGGGGGGGGGCAGCGGGGGCACGGCGCCCCCCCATCTTCCAGGGTGGGGGTGCAAACATATCTTTTTGCCCCCCCCAAATTGTTATCGACGAAGTACCACAATACTTCCATACTACGTCATGAACATATGCCAGTTTGGCTGAGTACCTTTTTAAGTTAACCCTCGCCCGTAAACGGCCATCTGCCACCTTCGCCCATGCAGGGGGGGGTTGGTGCGACCCCCCCTTGGCGTTTGAAAACGGAGCGTCGTAGAGCTTAGCGGAAAAGACCAACGGATTGCTCTCGCCGAGATCTCGCGATTGGTGGTATATTTTTTGGTCCTAGGTCAACATTTGACCTACTTTTGGCCGGTCAAAGGTCAAATTTTCGGAAAAATAGACTTTTTTAAACTTTCCGCGGCGATTGCGGCAACACGGTGGGAGATATCGACTTGAAACCTTCTTTATCGTGTTCCTTGATCAATTCTCTATCGTTTGGTATGTATTTCGTTTCCCTAGCTCTAAAAATGGCGCGTTGGGAGCGCCGGAAGTCGGCAAGGTCACAGTCGGCGGCAGAAATTCGAAAAATCAAAATTTAAATTTTTGAAATCTGATTGTATTTTTGGATTTGGAAGGTCCATTTGCTGCCTATAGAAGCTAATATAGCTGCATATTCCCATTGAGGTGACAAGAATTAGCAAAATAGTGGTTCGGACGCTTTTCAAAAATAGTACCGGACGCTGTTCCTCTTGTGACGTCATAGCTCCGTGACCTGACCTGACCCGGTCAAGTTTCTTATACCATATGATAGCCAATACTTGCCCCAACATGCATGGGAAGTTTCATCACGATCCATCAACCGATGTCCGTACCACCGGCAGGAAACCTCGGGCGTTGGCACTCAGTTTGTGAAAATCCGGCCGGAGGCTGTTCCCTTTGTGACGTCATAACTCCGTGACCTGACATGACCCGGTCAATTTTTTTTATCAAAAGATGCGCAAGGTTTGCCCCATAAGGTACCTAAAATTTGGCGGCGCTGCGCGCCGCCGTTTTTGCACTATTTCCGAAAAACCTCAGGGGGGGGGGGGTTGCACCAACCCCCCCCCCCTACATGGGCGAGGGTTAACCCTAGAACGCCCTAGAGCGAGTAATTTGGAATGGATTGATATTGTTGTCAATGTCGTCGTACATATTTTGATCACATTGGCTAGCATTTTGCAGTGCGAGTGTTACCAACCAAAAAGGTTTGCAATAGCCAATAATTGGCTAACTTTAATGACGTCATTGGTTTAAAGGAAGCAAGTTGTTCAACGCGAACAACAGTCACGGTGACAGCCACAGCGTGCTACACGTATTTGAACTGGACTTGCCGCAGTGGCGCGGGAACCAGAGGGGCGGTTCCCGGGAACCGGCTGGAGGGGCTAGCGGGGGCTGAGCCCCTCCAACTTTTCGGCGGGGGGAGGGCTCGTAATGTAGGTATTTGAGACCCTCCAACCGGAGGAATCGAAATCGGAAATCTACCAACATAATTTCATAGATTTATTACCTTTTCGAAATGTTAACCAGAAACAACCTTCAGTATGGAGCGTTCTAACGCAGAAGACTGTGACAACATGTAAGCACACATTCATTCTCTAAATATCATACATTTCCACCAAACGCCCTCCACACATAATGCTCAGAAATCAAGCAGCTATCTACGAGCTACCGGTAACCGGAAGAGTAGGACGGAACGCGAGTGGCCCGGCATGCGGACGTCACAGAAGCGCGTCTGAGCGTGCCACAGGCCTTTCCCCGCGACTCTGCCAGACGCCAGCCGGCATAGACTCGTGAGCCGGGGGGCAGCATGGGGGTAGCCTGCCCCCACAACTCTGGGGCCGTGGGGGGCGCAGGCGCTGCCCCCACAAAGTTTCATAGGGCCAGGAACCGTCGGGGCAGCTTGTCCTCCCTATATTAGCGGCCGTGGGCCTCAAAGAAAAGCTGAATGGAAGACAATACCTATTTAAGTAAAAAAAATCCCCCTCTATACCTGATTTGACAGCTCATGTGTGAAAGCTTCAAACGTTTATTCCAAGTTACCAAAAAGGTAGTTCCTTGACTCAGATGAGACGGGATATCTCACTTTTTGCAAATGTTTTCGTTTCGATTTTTCGTTGTAAAGGCCAAGGGGTGAAAAATAAGTGGCCTAAAACCGGTGAGAAAACTAGATTTGGGGGTACCCTAGGTTCCGGGAAGGATCAGGTGTGCCCCCCCATCCCAAAATACCTTCCGCCGCCTCTGTTATCAGCGAAGAACTACAGACGATAAAGGAGTCAGCCCGCTTAGAAGTTCGTGTGTCTACTTTGTTCGAGAGAAAAATTCTTCTTGGCCTTTCGAAACGAAAACTAGGCTTTTTAAGGAAATTGAAGACATCTTTGATCATTTGATGACTTGTGACGAATGCTGGGTCTATGTGTATGATTCAGAGGCAAAAAGATGATCTAGAAGTTTAAGCACGGCACATCTGCCCTTCTTAAAAGGCGAAGATGCAGAAGCCGATATGGAAAGTCAATGCTCTCAGTGTTCTGGATCTGGCGTAGGATAGTCATTACCGACTGTCTTGATGATGGTCGGATAATGATAAGCAAGCACTACTGCACACTTTTGAAGAAGTTGTGAGATGGCCTCAAGCAGAATCGCCGCAAAAAAGCCCAAGAAAAATGTTTTATCCTCACCGACAGCGCCCCCGCCCATTCGTCCTGAGCTGCGATTGAAGAAACAACATGATGTGGACATTAAATCCTACCGCATCCAAGAAATTCACCTGACCGGGTGTTAACTGATCCCTGATTGTTACGGGAGATGA